TTATAGAAGACCCCCCTCTTCCTATTCGAAAAAAAAATTTAAAATCGTTATAGAAGACCCCCCTCTTCCTATTCAAAAAAAAATTTAAAATCATTATAGAAGACCCTCCTCTTCGAATTCATATTCAATTCATATACAATTAATTGTTGAAAAAAAGTAAAATAATTGAAATTGTAAAAAAAATGTTGAATTTATGAAAAATTGTGAAATTGATGAAATTGTGTTAAATAATTGAAATTGAAAACTGTATTTTCATATATTTTTTTTTTAATTCGTTATATAAAATAAACCAGGTTGAGTTGAATTATTTTACTATTATTTTTATTTAATTGTTTAGGAAATATGATTATACTACTACAGCAGTACAGAGATGTACGTAGTTGTAAATAACCATGTAGTGGGACAGTGCTGTCACAGGAGAAATCATATTACCACAGATTAAATAAAACAAAAAAATATTAAATAAATAATATTTTTTATATTTTATTTAATCAGTGATATTACTATATCAGTAGCGATTTAGTGCGTTTTTTAAAGTAGTTTTTTCCCCTCCGAAAATTTCAACTGTCCACTAATGTGTTAAATACCATAATCGAAATTAATAAAACTAATTTACTAATAAATACTAATAAATTACTAATAAATTTACTAATATTAATACCTATTAGTGGATAAATTTGTGTATTTTCAGCTGAGTAAACTAAAGTTTTTAAATGTAACCAAGAATTATAAATTTAATAAATTAAATTACTACATATTATAATATTCTGGAAAATTACATGTTTCCAATTTCAAATGGACTACTAGATTTAGTTAGCTATTTATAATTTATTTATTTTTAATTTGAAGTTTTTATAAAACATTGCATTTCACCCAAGATGGGCTGTAACTAGTTAAAAAGTTAATAGTTACTTTTTTTGATAACTTTTAACTTCACTAGTTAAAAAAAAGAAAAAAGAATGTTAATAACAAATACAACTGTTCATATGATTATGATGTACTAAGAATATGTGTAAATATTAGCAAATACCAATAAATTAATTTTGAACAGGATTTTTATAAATAATTAATTTAAATAACCAACAATAACTACAGTTTAAAAATGTAAATATTTTTAACAGATTAAATATAATTGGCATCACAAAGTTACTTACCTGATTGTTCAAATTTTGAAAATTTTCCATCACGTTCTGTAGGTTTAAAAAATGTTGAAATATAACTTGAAACAGTTCTATTAACAGACTTAATTTTTTTTTACAAGATTCCTTAAGTCGAATCCAGTTGGTATTGTTCATAAAATCACGATTTTTTCCACAGGTGGGACACAGTGGATTCATCTTTCAATAGAATGCAATTTAAATTAAATTGATTAAATTAAACGGATGTGTTAAATAAATAACGTAATACGTAAATAAAATAATAAATATAAAAATGAATCCAAGTTAGGAAAATAATCAACCCACAATATATAATACCATATTCCATCTCACCCTCACTTCTTATTTTATCTGTAATTTTTACATTTCTATTTTTGCGTTATTACAATAGTTATAAACAACGTAAAAATAAAATATTTTCGAACTTTATATTTAGTTATATTCATCATAAACAAAAGCATTACCACTGCCGTATATGGGTACCACCAAACACCCAAAATATGTGTTGTAGCCTAAACGCAGGAACAATAAAGTTCGACGCCACTGATGCTGGCCGAAAAAACATTCGAAACAAACACATAACGTAGATACGGATGTATCGATTAGGTAATCGAAATAACCAATTCGAAAAACGCATTTCGGCTTATAAGCAAGTTTTGAAGAGCAGGATTCAACATAACCGGAAACGAATTTAATTCGAACGTATTCGAATCCGGTGATTAACGTTGCAAAAAAGCTTGTGAAAAAATCGTTGCGAACAAACCGGGGACATTCGCTCACGAACGTATCGAAACGTCGAGACGACCGAGATTACGTGCCGTCGATCGTCGACCCTCGTGGTTTCCTCTGGTTTGAACGGGACAGCTATTTTCGGTTGGCGCTGTTAGGTTCGAACGCCCTATAGTCGATTCACGTTGGGCCATATCCAGTGATCGGATAAAAGGCCGTCAACAGCAGACCGGCGACCGCCTTGGATCGTGACAGCGTAGCGTGCCGTTTTGGACCTGTAGTATATGTTACGCGCATCTGTCGTCGGTGGCGGAAGTCTGGCCGGCCAGGTGTGAACGACCGTACCCACTCAGGACCTCTAAAAATCTTAACATTCGGGCCTCGGAAGCTATATTCGTTGTCATAACACGAGTCGCTCGTTCGTTGGTCCGTAAAACTTATACTCATTCGGGACTTATATCTTAAGGAGTGAATCCACAGGAAACTAATTGATAAGTAACAAACTTAGGAGACAAAAAAAAAACAACAGACAACCGTATATTATAGCGTAATTTTTTTTTTTTAGCTTCGGTTAGACTGATTTTTAAGAATGAATAAAATGAATAAAAGCAAACAAACAAAAAAGTAAATCATTGTTGATTAGTTCATTAGTTTATTACAGTTCACCACTTGCACTTAATTTTAATATCGTATGTATTCACACATATAACGTTGTAATTGAAGGAAAAATATTCCTTAAATTGAGTATAGACAAATTATTATTTCAATTCAATCAATGAATAATATACAGTGGAACCTCGATAACTCCAATCGGTTGGGGGCGAAAAAAAAATTCGAGTTATCGAAAATTCGACTTATGGAAAACCTCGATAACTCGAATCTGCCAAAAAATTCGAGTTATCGAAAATATTTTTTATTTAAAAACACAAAGACTTTAATTTTATAATTTTATTTATTTATGTATTTACTAATAAATTAATAATGTATGTACTATATAGGTATGTATATTGTATTAAAATGTTAAAAAAGTATAATGTAATAAATAAAGTAGAATAAAAGAATAAAAAGATAGTTAAAGACTTTGAACTGCGTTATTCCATCTTGTCTTGACAAAATAAACTGAACATTAGCTGTGTCAGCATTATATAAAATATCGACGTATACATTTCGTATTTCAATTGACGTATAATTTTACCAGTAATAAATACACTAATAAAGTAGATAAACGTAACTTATCGGAGATATAGACATTATATTGTATTATAGACATATTACATATATCGTTGAATTTATAACTGTACTTTTTAAGTAGTATAGGTAATGATAATATTGATGATACTAATCGGTTTTCGATTACGATTATCGTTATTTATAATAATACATACATACATATGTACTTGGTTATTTGACCTTCGAGTTATAAGCTAAAATTCAACTAAAATTACTTCGACTTATCGAAAAATTCGAGTTAGCGAAATTCGAATTATAGAGAAAATTTATCACATATATCATATGTCGGAAGCCAGTGGCTAAGGCATTCTTTCGAGATATCGAAAATTCGACTTATAGAGGTTCGAGTTATCAAGGTTCCACTGTATTTCAATAAAATTTATATATTTCATCCAGTTTTAAAAATTAATTTGGTTAGTTAAAATTTAAAAAGTTAAATTAATTTTTAAAATTTAATATATTAATATTAATATTAATGCTATTGATTTAATATACAGTTTTATTTTTAGTCGTCATAATTAATTGTCTTATAGATCTAATAGATAGATTTTTAAAAATTCTTATACTTAAAATACTAATGAGCAAAACTTACTCATTATAAGACTCAACTAATTTATAAGATCTAATTGTAGAGTTACTTTAATAGAGTACAACAAACCCTTACATATCGATATCCTCTACGAAGAAGGGCGTAACTCAATTTTTTCATTTTTCGGTTTATTGCATAATCTGATAGCCGTCTTTTTTCTTCATCTCCGACGAAAACGGCATTTAACTTATTTAACGTATCAGCGAAAAAGATTCTAACTTTACTTACATCTATTTTTAAATATAAATTTATGTCGAATAAAGACGTAACTCTGGAAATAATAAAATTCTAATATAGTATTGTTACTATGATTGTTCTAAAATTAGAAATATTAAAACAATAAAGATAATACAGTTATAGAATAATAATAATTAATATGATATATTGATATTATATTATATTTATATTCATATTATTATTCATATTGGTATACAGTAATGTTATAATTTAAATATTTTTTTTTTGTTAATATTTACAGCGAAAGGACTGATAATATTATTATGGCATTGATTTTTGTAATTAATGATTTCTTGGTATATAATTAAAGAAGGAAAACTTAAGTTTCCTAATGAAAGTTTATATTATATTTTTATACTCGGTTATATTTGCATATTATTCAATTTTATCCTCAAATAATGATATGGTTGGCTTCATGTCTTCATCAAAATAGTTCTTTCCTAAAAATCATCGACTTATTATTAAATTGAGATACGTCTTCATGAAAATTATACATTTCCCACGAAAAAAGACTTAACTTGAGTTACGTATTCATAGTCTCAAAAAAAGACGTAACTCAAAGACTTAGGTCAACAAAAGGTAATTAAACAAAAACAATATATTTCCAGAAAGCTACAAAAGAAATAAAAACTAACTAGAAAAAAAAAATTAAAAACAATCACCATGGGAACAAGAATTTAATTCCGAAAACAAATAAACGCTGTCCTGAAGAATTAAAAAATTGAGTTACGCCCTTTTTCGTAGGGGGTGTCGATATTTTACATTCATATTCTTTATTAATATTTTACATTCTTAAAACTATAAAAATGTTAGATGTTTCGTAAATGAACGTAAAAAATGCATTGCTTCTTTTCAATTACTAAATCCAGTTTATAGAAATATATTAATTATTTATTTATTATTACATAGAAGTAAAGTTAATAAAGTTAATGAGTCTGAAGAAAAAAAGAAGAGTGTAAATAATGTTATGTTAAACGATCCAGCTCAAGTCCAATTAAATGAAGAAAAAGGAAAACGTGATGCATCTAAAGTATCCATAAAGCCTATACAACTCATTCAGAAGTATTTTATAATAATTTAATAAGTTTATAATTTATGAATTATTAATTTTTTATTTACTGATCGATTAAATATTTTATTTTAAATTTTAATCTTGTTACGTGCCACCGGCTCGATTTCAAGTAGTACAGTTGACGATGAATTTAAATTTAATTAATCAAACATAAGACTTTAACTTAAACGTTTATTTCAATATTTAAAGTGTTTAACAAATTATAACATAGAATGACGTGAAGTTGCTTGCAGTTCCGTGACTAGAACTCATCTGAATTGTGATCATTTCGATCCCTCTTTTATATTGATCGATTGACGTCATAGAGATACTGCTCCCATTGTTTTGGCGATTTTCAGAAATAGGTTTATGATTTCATGGTTCCGTGGACCGTTTCCCTCGCTGTTAAGTGCTTAATCACCCTCGTTATTCGTAATTAGTACATTTGTAATACCCAGTATTCCTGATTATTTTTATTACCTTTCGTCATTCATACATTTTTATTACATAATGTTTCTAGTTATAGATTATTTACTTTATACCAGCATTTAGATTATAAAAGAATATAATATTACATTATCGTTCCCCACATTTTAAATATATGGGTAATAAACTATTACGTGAATATAAGCACAATTTACTATATGATATATGGAAGCCCATAATAATCTAATCTTCGTTAACAGATATTGAAAAAAATTAAAAAATAAATTGCACAATTAGAAGAAAATTGATTTCTATGGGCGTAGCTAAGATTTGAATTAGGGGGTGAGGGGCAAAAACATAAAGCGATTGGTGTTAAACTCGTAATTCAAATAATCTACAGATATACCATTGGATAACACATAAAACATCAAAACGATTATACGTGTAGATAACACTCGGTCCCGCTACACTATTTTTAGACTTATATCTTGGTTAATTTTTAATTTTAATGTAAAACTTACACGTTTGGTATAAACAAATAGAATTCAGTTTGGGGTGCGGTGGGGGGGGCAAGTGCACCTCTGCCCCACCTTCGCTACGACTATGTTGATTTCATTTGATGTATTATAAAATGTATTAACTCTATAATTTTTTATTATTTAGAAGGAAGACTGGAAGCCAATTATTAAAAAAAAAGACTGGAAGCCAATTATTAAATTCAATTAAAGAAGCCAATAAATCAAAACAAAAAGATCAGGAACGACAAAGTGAAATTAACCGAAAACAAGAAAAAAAGACATTAAAGGCACAAAAGAGTGAAGAATTGAAGATTCAAGAACACCAGGTAATATTAAATACATTTACAACACTACCCGAAACGGTCTATTTTCGCCAGTGATGAGCGTCACGTACATACCATGACTATCGCCGACTATCATCGTGTTGTGCGTCGTACGGGCTTCTTCCGCGCTTTAGTGTTCCGTATTCGGTAGTTTTATCCTTTGCAATACTTATGCTCAATCACCCCGAGGTAAGGGATACTTATCAAAATTCGTAGTCGTACCATTCGAAAGTGTCCGCGAATGCCCGAAAAAAAGTCCTCAAATAAAAAAAACCCGAAAAAAAAATTACAATAGTATAACAATAATATAGCTATAAGTGTAATTCTTGAAATATTATTTGTACATAAAAAATACTTTATAAAAGAATCCATCCAAAAACGATGACTTTTCAAAAATGTATAAAATAAAATGTAAAAAAAATCAAATATAAGCATTTTTTTTTAGTTTAATTATTTGAGTTAAATAAATCAACATAAACCCGATTAACATTAATTTCAGCTTCGTGAGGAACGTTTAAAACCCACCTGTGCCATGTTATTAACATTATCCCATAAAAAATATGAACACGACCAAATGTGTCGTGACGAATTGAACTGGAAACATACAATAGAGTGTAACGGTACTCCTAATCCTAGAGTGTTGCAAGAACTTAATACATATATATATTTCAAGAAACAATTAAACCATGCTAATGAGAATTGGAACTTCTACGAGGACAATTGCTTAGATATATTTAACATTATAAATGCGGTGGATGACATCGTGGATTTACCATTGAATTTTAGTAAGATACCTCTTATATAACTATTAAAAGATAAAAACGAAAAATTTTTACCAAATTAAATCTTCTGTTCAGTATCGGTTTATCAGTGCACACGAACGGTCGTGTGTCACAATTGTCGAGTTAACACACTGTTAGTTCTTTTTTTCTTTTTTTTTTTTTTGCCATGGTATAGTGCTTTCAGGGGATTCGATACCGTTCGTTTTTTTGACGAAAACATGCCTAACTTTTGTCCATTGTAGCGATAAAACTACTTATGCGATAAAAAATCTGAAAACATATTTAAATACGTTATGAAGTTTACTTGAGATCGGTCAGAGCATTTTTTTAAATTTTGACTTTTATATTCCACTTGAGTATGATTTTAAAAATAAACATTTTAGAATTATTAAACAGTGAATATATTGTATCTGAGAAAAAAAATCCAAAAAGTGGGATGACCCATCTCAAGAAAACTTCATAGCCAATTCAAATCTGCTTTCAGATTTCCTATCGCATTAGTAGTTTAATCGGTATGATGGACAAAAAGTACATGCTTTTTACCAAAAAACAATCGCCGTTCGTGACCGGTGCCGCGCGCGATTACAGATTGGTTACATGCTCGTGCACGTGCGTGAGCGAGCTTCCCCCCTCCTCGATAGAAACTACACCGGTGCGATTACAATGCATCGTTATCGGTGATCGTGGCTTTTCGTAAAAGGTTATACGTACGGTACACTGGTGCCCAATTATAATTTATAATATCCACTATACTACTAAAGTACGTAACATAATAATAAATTAGTAATGTTACAGATATCTATTATTTTTATTTTATAAGTCAACTAGATATTTTAAAGATTTATAATATTGTATATTTAGTTTACAATGTAGCAATTCAGTCTATAAAAAAATAAAAGAAAGTCCCCACAAGATAAATAAGAACTGGTATAATAATAGCTATCCTTATCATGGACGGTTTGCAATTTAATAATATATGGTTATTTTTCTGTTCAGTGAGCTTTGAGCTAATGTGCGATTAAATTTTACAAATATTTAAAACTTAATAATAATAATAATAATAATAATAATAATAATAATATGATAATATAATAATGATAAAAAACTAAAACTTAAAGATAATAATAATAATAATTATTATTATGATAATAATTTCTGAAGAAAAATTCAGCCACAGTTACAGCAATTTCGTATAGATTGTTTACTTCTGGAACTTATTGATACTCGGTTTGACCAAGGACTTCCAATAAGAACTGGGCTACCAATAAACATTTAACCAGGCGCTTACTGGTGTTATTTTTAATCGTTAAATTGTTTGGATTTGTGTACAAATCATCACTAATTATAATTTATAAGTACCCAGTTGGCCAGTTATTATTTTCGTTACTATTGGTTACTATATTCGTTATTTATAGGTAAGTGGTACAGTATTACTCATTACCGCGTGATTTTATATAAAAATAATAAAATCATGATTAAAAATGGTGGTGGGGGTAAATAGGTGAAAAGTATATATTCTCATAACTACCAAAAATACAAAAAAAATATCATTGAAATCAGTCGAGCCGTAATCTGAAATTATTATTTGTGTTCGAGTAAACGGAATTTGTAGTCGTTATCGCTGGACCCCGCCAGATCCCACTACACCATCACTAACACTAATGATCATTTACTAGACACACACATGCACAGCTCGCACTAATATTATTGCCTATATTGCCTGTATGCAATCCCCTTAACGTGAGTTATCCTGCCACGCATTAAGTCTCTTTTATCATGGTTTCGGCCTCCGGCGGAAATGGCCCCAGGCGGGCCCCTAGAGTAAAATCGTCGTCGAGCACTTCTAGCTGTACTGTCGTTTCATACAAAAGCAATAATAGATATAAGTCAAAGTCTATTTCAGTCACCAGCCCGATTTCTCCGACCTTGGAAGCAAACACGGCTAATCAATCTTCGCTTATCATCAACAAGTCTATGCATTCTCCACCACCCAACGATGTAATAATTTCGTCTATCTCTGGAGTCAACGCCGATAATTATGTCTCACAGTCCACCGCCACACATTTCGAACCAAACACGGTAAATTCTCACACCAACGATAATTCCATGTCTTCTTTTATTATCACCGATCCGAATACCGATTATTACGATAATAATCATGGTCCGTTCAAATGAATTGTTCAATACGCAGATAAGGCATTAAATATCGGCAATCTGCACCCGTTGCAGTTTGACAAGCTTATCTACAATCAAGTTGAAGGTATAGTATCCATCCAATCAGCCGGCGCGTCATGCGTCATGCTTTTTCGTCCGCCGCCTCGGCAAACAAGTTTATAAATTCATCCATTTTAACCGAATTCAATTGGTCAGCTACGATTCCATCATCTTTAATCTACTCATTCGGTGTTATCCGGATCGAGCAGTCTTTCACGGAAAAAAATTTCTGGGATGGTGTTGTCTCGCCCATCTGCCTTGTCGGCTTTAAAAGAATCTCCTCTACTAGAGACAGTATTAAGACCCCGTCCAGATTAGTCGAGTTAAAGTTCAATTCCACTTTACTACCGAATTCTGTTTCTATTTATAATACGAATTTCAAATTTTAACCCAGCATTTGTTCTCCTACGCAGTGTAAGAAGTGTTTTAATCTCACACAAATGTTTTATCTTGGTAAACCTCGGTGTGAGTTTTGCTCTTCTATGGATCATTTTGCGGTAGATTGTCCCGTTCACCTTGAGCTCAACGCAACCGCTACGTGCGCCAACTATCAAGGATTCCATCTTCCCTCCGATCGGTCGTATCTAGAATGGGCTCATCAGAAAGATCTCAAAAAGTTAATGGTCATAAACAAAATTACTTTCAATGAAGATGTTAGTTTTAAGGACAATAATGTATGTACTCCGGTCTTCTCTTTTGCATCCTTCACTTCTCGTCCTATTCCAAATTTTCCTTAAGATACTTCTAATAATTCATCAAATCCTACTCCAAGCTCAAAAGTTTCCTTTCAGTCAAATACAGATTTTCCTCAATTAGGTTCCTACCCTAAAAATAGGAAATCAAGATCTCCAAATAAATATTTTTAATCAGAATACTTCCTTTCCCCGTCCAGCCTCTCTTAATATCTCAAACTCTCACAGGTCACCAAACGGTATCTTTTTCAATTATGTTACGCCTCCTATAGCTTCACCTCAGCTTTCCTCTAATAATTTAGCATGGGTTTCGAATTTTGCTTTCCAACTGTCCCAAATCATATCCTTTTCCAGTAATTTAGATGATAAATTGCCATTATTTAATGTAATTGAGTCAACACTTCTTAAATTTCTGTCCATCCCTACTGTAACAGATGATGCCAATGAATTCTACTAATTCCTTTCCTATTTCAACGTCAGCGCACCTTCAGTTTCTTCAATGGAATTTCAGAAGTATCAAATCCCGTTTCTTAGATCTCATCAGTCTGATCACTATTAGAAACGTAGCTTCTACCAAACACTGGTTTCAAGTAAATAATTATCATCTTTTTCACTCCGACCGCCAAGATAGTTATGGTTAGAGCGTGGATTTGTATGAACTTAAAAGTATCGAAATATGCCATATAATATGCAGTAAAAATCATGAAAATATGCAAAAAATACGCAAGAATTTCTTATTTATTTAAAATTTATAAATCAACTTATAAAAATTAATTACTTAAATAATTAATATAAAAAAATATAAAGAATTTTCTGAAACCTATCCCCAACATTTGCTATTTCTTGTCGCCTAGTCTGTCTTCATGTCCTACAATTTCCCTGGTTTCATAATATCCCTATTTCCCGTAAAGTTATCATCTCCTTTTCTCGCCTCCGGTACAGCCACAACCACCTCTTAGCCCACTCATTTCATTTATCTCTTAATGATTCTCTCATCTGTACTCGGCACAATGATCCTGCTATATTCAATGCTTCCCATCTCCTCTTTAACTGTCCAGACCTTCTCACTAAACGCCAGCTTCTCTCCAATATTTGTTCTTCCTTTAATATTCCATTTACCCTCCCACATATTTACCAATTTCCTAATGCATTCCTTATTACTTCCATTGTTAACTTTTTCCTTTCAGAAGGGTTTTTTTACTTTAATTATATTTATTATTTAATTTTGCTTTCCTATTTGTTTATGTAGTCAAATTGTATTGTTATTATAATCGCTGAGACAAATATTTTAATGCACCACTTAATTAAAAAAAAATAATAATAATAAAAAAAAAATCTTCTGTTATAATATATTTATTAAAGTACTATATTATAATGCGTATATTGGTGCTAGTTTGTTGATTCGCTGTGCTTAGATTTTAACTTCAGTATGACATAATGTTTTTAGCTCGAATATATTTCTATTGTTTAGTGCTTTATCTAGGTTTACAAACAATTTTCAATACTTACAAACACTAATAACACTTATTTCACATTTTTAATTGTAGATCAATTTAAACTTCAGTGTTTTCGAGAATCAAAAGACAATTTGGGAAGACTATTGATAGAAATCGTGTATGAAGTATGTTATTATCTGCTGAGTGATTATGATCGCAGAATGGATCCAATAGATTTAGAAACGGTCGCTTATCAAAAGTCTTGTGAAGCATTTTCTGTTGGTCTGCATGTTGTATGCCATAGGCCTAGATTACGAACAGATAATAGATCACCTCCAAAATGTAATTTCCCAGAATGTCTGGTCATGGTGGATGTACCACCACAACTTTCACAACAGTATATGGCAATAATGGTTCTGTGGTTACGCTGGGATCCTTTTAGAGACAGAATAGTTAAGTTTGATGTATCAAATTCACTTGAGTCAGATATTAGAGATCTGTGGCAGTACTCTGAGGATATGTGGGAAGAGCGCAACCAGATATTAAAGACACTTAACGAAAAAAAGGAACAAATGAAAAAAAAAATCATGGAACATTAATATGGAAGAAAAATTAAAATTGTTTACTGCAGTTGACCCGAGCAATTACCCAGACGATTTAAAAGCATACATTGATGAACTGAGAGAGAATGAAACAGAAATTATTATAGAAAACATACTAGAATATGAAGCAGTACAAGAAATGGATGAACGCCAAGATGAGGTCGAGATAAAAGATGAACCTCAAATTCCAGAAGAAGTAAAAGCAACTAAATCAACAACACACATAGATTTCGAAAAATCTCCTAGTCAAGAAATGGAAAAAAATCCTATTTTATTAAAATATCCAGAAAAACCAAATGAACTCAATCCCAGAAGGTATATATAATATTAATATTTAAAAGGAATCCTTTACTTTCCCTAAATAATGCGTTTTTATACGTACATTTACGCTACTAAGCTAAAGAATAAATAAATAATTGTTGAATAACATTTACAATGCTTTTATACCTAGTAAGGAATATCCACACAAAGATGTCTAAATATTTTTATTTCAATTAAACACTAACTAATGCTTAAATAGTTATCGAAGAATAGGATGAATAAATATTATACTTAAATTCAGGGTGGTTCGTAAGTTCTGATGGTGGAGGTGTGACTTTAAATATAATAGGTTTAACATATTAAAAATAAAATAATACAAAATACACATACTCGTATTACTTTTAAGCTTAATATTTTATTTGTCAAAGTATCTTAATCATAGTTTACATATGAGTATATAATAGTATATACTATTATATAATTACAAAATAACTAATTTATAAAATTATTTTATGAATAAAATCCATACGCCTGTTTTTCGCTGATAAAAATGGTCCTACTAGTGTCAAGTCGCAGGCCGCAGTAAAAAATAAAAATAAAATTTATAATGTCACAAACGACGCAGCTGGTCGTCCAAAACACGTATATAAGGATCGCAGTTGACCCGCACGCACATGATTGCTGCACCATTGCGTATAAATTATAATATACGTGTTCAGAATAGTTCCGACAACACTGCTAGTCGTCCCAAAACTGCTGTGTTCATGTTTACCAGTGGCGTATTTAGGAATTTGTCATGGGGAGGGTTCAGACAATTTTCAGAATACAGAGCCGTGGATGGGTTTGCCCCCACTCCCCCCAACATTACACTGAAATAGAAATTCAATTTATGACAATGAATAAACATAAATCCATTTTTACATTAATTAATATATTATTATTATTTATAATTATTTTTGTATTTTAATTTCAACATAAGCATTATCATTTTCCACTATTGGTAAATAAAACTCAACCAAATTCTCAAACGATATTTTTTCTACATCTGTAAATGTTGAACAAAATATACATTCAAACCCTATAAAAAATATAAAAAACATAGTATTTTATACAGATTCTTATATTAACCTAGATTAATCAATATATTTATTACCTTAAAAAATTTAATAATTTAAAAATCGAGTTGTAAGTTGGTCGATAAAATTGTCAATGAATGGCATAAACACTGTCACTATAATAATTTTCTATAGAGGATACTTGAAGATTCGCCTTATTTGTTTGTTTTTTTGCTGTGCATTTTTCGGTTATTTTTGTACCAATAATATTGGCTAAATTCTATCAAAATATTAAAAGTTAATTATACATATTATTTAATTACATATTAATTACATATTACATGTTACATGTTAATTACATATTCATACTCAAAATTGAATCACATCAAAACTCAAATCACATACTTTTATTTTCTCATATAAAACGTGAAATTCTTCTTCTGCATCCTGTCTCATTTCTTTTAAAGTACTAACTAATAATTCAATAGTACTTACTTAAAGTACCTATTTTTTAAATCTATCCATTCTCTCTGTTCTTTAAAGTTTTTCTACTAAACAGAATAGGTCAATTTTAAGTACTCTTTTATTGCTCCATGCATAACAATTTATGATAAAAGTTTTTTCCCGATTACGCAAAAAAATAACATTTTATGTGGTTACAACTTATATTTGCACAGAATATAATAATATATTATACATATTAAACATTTAGATACGCATTTATGGAACCAATGGGGGGTCTGGACCCCATGGACCCCCCCCCCTGCGTAAATACGCCACTGTTACACGCTTACGCACTAAATCAGGGGCCGGCAAGTAATTTATATTGGAGTCCAGAAGTTTAAAATGATAAATCAATGAGGTTCAGTGAAAAAAATCTATATTTTAAAAATAGCAGTATAAAAATAAAAATAATTATTTGGTTATTACAATTAATTTATATTAAAAATTACAATATTAGAAGTATGAAAATAAAAGTTGACAGGGTCCAGAATATTGCCTTCCGCGGTCCGCCAGTTGCCGACTCTTGCACTATACATACAGTTCTGATATCTGAGAAAACAAATTTTATGTTTACATATGACAAAATGTATATTATAATTATATTGTAATCCTTCGAAAAATGCAGTTAAATAAAAGTTATTATTTAAAAATGTATAAATATACAATTAATTTTCTTCTTTTCATTAATTTTATTAGGGGGTGCAAACCACGAGCTGGAACCCGATTAAGCACGAATCAACATTTTCGTATTCCGATTGAGCACGGTTGCAATCAAACAATAGGAACCAAAAAAGAACCCAAAAACTACACGATTGAGCACGAAAATGGGAGCATTTTTGCCGCTTTGTACCATAGAATATTATTCGGTGCACCGTATTACTGTGCATTCAAGATTTTTTTATAATTTACTGTCCTTTATAAATTACTGTCCTCAACTCATCTCAATCCACACTTGACCTAATATTTTAAAATATTGCAAATATTTCTGTTGAAAAGAGTCTTAACCATCTCGTTCCCTGTGATTCCTTTCACCCAGCTTTAGAGATTTCACTTTTAACCATTCCTCATATACACTTTGCAAATAACTCCCATATATTTTTCGACTTTCGCAAGTCTGACTATCCAAAAATAATTTCTTTCCTAAATTCTTTCAATTTTTCCTCAACTTTACTCAACCTTGATGCAAATTCAGCAGCTTATTGCCTGTATGATGCTTTACACTATTCTATACTCAACTTCGTTCCCGAAATTCGTTTTACTCCGTCAAATTTCCTCCCTGGTTCACAAAGGAATTAAAAACATTAGTGTTCGCTAAAAAACGAGCACATGGCACTTTCAAAGTTTCACACAATCAGCAGGACTATTCTGCATTCTCTAAATTACGTGCGTAATTTAAATACTTGTCTAAAAAATGTCACAATGATCATCTAACTCATACTGAGTCCCAAATTCTTAGCAACCCTAATTCTTTCTGGACATTTGTACGCAAGAGTCGTTCAAAATCTGGCCTACCAAATGTCATACATCTAGACGCTCAGCATTACTCAGGTAGGGAACAAATAGCTAACATATTCTCCACTTACTTCGCTTCCGTTTACAAGCCATCTAGTAGCTCTGCTTTACTTAGTTCCCCATTTCTTTACCACCCATTGCCTAATAACTGTCACTTTTCAGTTTCCGATATAGAAACTAAATTAAAAACCCTATCAAACACTACAAGTGCTGGTCCTGATGGAATTTCTGGTTCTCTCTTAGCTAATATCAATTATGTAATTTCAGTCTCCCTATGGATAATATTTAAGCGCTCACTTGATGACGGCATCTTCCCTGACATTAGGAAATTATCTTCTGTTACTCCTATCCACAAAACCGGAGATCAAGATGACATCCGTAATTACAGGCCTATATCTGTTTTAAGTCACCTTGCAAAGCTTTTTGAATACCTAGTTGTCCGTAGTATTCAATCTACAGTTAACTCTATTCTTATTGATGAGCAATATGGCTTTCGGCCTAATAGATCCTCTACTCTCAATAGTATCGTATTTAACAACTACACTTTACAGGCTCTTGAAAACCATGCTCAAGTAGATATCATTTTCACTGACATCTCCAAAGCTTTTGATCAAGTAGACCATTATATTCTCATTGACGTGCTTTACAAAGCAGGCTTCGGCGAACCGCTACTATCTTGGTTCAAATCCTACATAACTATGAGAAAGCAATGGGTAAAAAATTTAGATTGTCGTTCAAGTTTCATAAACGTTACTTCGGGGGTCCCTCAAGGTGGTTATCTTTCTCCTATTCTATTTGCTATTTTTATTAACGGCTTGAATACAGCTATTAAACACTGCCGTTTTTTGGCTTTTGCTGATGATGTTAAATTATTTTCACATGTCAACTCCATTGATGATTGTACACGCCTCCCGAGTGAATTAAATTGTTTATCAACCTGATTAGAGAACTATGGACTATACCTCAACATCAGAAAATGTCAGATTATGTCCTTTACTAGACACCAAGCTACTATTTTATTTGATTATTCTCTTAACAACCATTCCATAACACGAGTTTCTCTAAAGAAAGATTTGGGTATCCTTCTAATTTCCGACTTAGACTACCACTCCCACATTGAGCACGTAACCTGTAAATCTTTAAAGACTTTAGGTTTTATAAAACGCTTCTCTTCTAATTTTAATCTAACCTATTCTCTCAAAAATTTATACTGTGCGCTTGTAAGGCCGACAATAGAATATGGTTTCATTCTTTGGAATCCTTATACAACCTCAGACTCTTCCCTACTTGTGCGTGTTCAGCGTAAATTCCTTAATTTTGCATCCTTTGCTCTTAATATCCATCATGAACCTCATGATTATTCCCTAGTCTTGCTCCACTTACAACTTAGTAGTCTTTCCGATAGAAGAGTCTTAGCCAACATTAACTTCTTTAATAAAATTACGAATGGTACCATAAATGCTCCCAAGCTTCTCGCTGAGATAAACTTTCGTGTTCCAAGTAAATCTTCCAAGCTAATGGCCCCCTACTACGTTCCTCGTCACACCACTAACTATGGCCGAAACCACCCTATTCACCGAATGATGCGTTTAGCAAATGAGAACCTCTCTAGTCTTTAGGCCTTAATCTTTGTTTATATAATTTATTAATATGTTTGTCTGTTATCTTATTCCGTTTAACTGTACTTTGTGCTAGTCCCATAATGTAAAATAAAATAAAAATAAAAATAAAATAATTATTATGTAAATAAATTTTAGATATGAAACGATTATTTCATAATTTAAAATATTTACGGCTCAGGTTTCCTAAAAGAAATAACTATTCAATAAAAAACGACAAGACACATTTTTTTCGCATTTTTTATGTTGTTAGTGTATAGAGCTCGATGTGTTCATATTTTTATTACAAAATAAAATACATTTGAGTATAATTATTTATAATTAAAAATCTTTAATTGGATTTTAATCACATGTTATAATTACATTTTTTTTTTTGCTAAAAAATATACTCATACAATTGTCATGAAAAAGGTAAAAATTTAAATTTTTTTCCCTAAATACTTATTTTTAACTTTCAATAAGTATTTAAGTAGATTGTCAGCATTTTTAAATTCAGAGTACTCACGATAAGCCTTTATAGCAGTATTTTTAACGCACAATAAAGTCAAGGTGCACACAACAGTTTTCGAAATATCGCGCCATAATTTTATTGCATGACACTTGTGTGTTGTGCTCTATTCATTTTAATGTACTTTAACAAAACGCACAGTAAAATTACGACGTAGTAAAAATGTCGCACGGTAAAATAACACTAGTGTGTTGCCAGCTCAATAGTTAGTTTTCAATCTGACAACATTGTAGGCAATATTATTTTTTTTTACTAGGCTCAATCGGGTATCACCGAAACTACAAGCCGCCACTGCTTAAATTAATATGTATTGTACGGACATTTCTTTAACCATATACTGAATACACACTATTCAAAAGAAACAATATATAGATTAGCACTATTACAAAAAAGGATTCTTACTCTTTGAAAATTATTGATAAAATTATTATTATGGTTTTGATAAATTCAATTATTTATTCTATTTGAGGAATGTTTTTATTCAAAATTATTTGGCTTAAGTTTATATAAAAATACATTATTTTTAAGATAAAGTAAAATATAATAAAACAGATTACATTTATTTAACTTAGTATAAGTAGGTATACCTTAATGACTTAGTACACCTAACTAAGAAACAATTTAAAACTTATAAAGCTGTTAGAATGATCTATAAGCTGTATAGTACTTAAGAAAAAACATATAGTTATATTAAATTTTCATTTTTCTGGAGTACATACTACTAAACGTGAAATAAGTTATTGTTTATAGTACATTTGTTTAGATACTGGATTATTGGTGGAGTATTTAATGTAGAAATGTGGAAACTTCCTATGCAACCCGTTAAACTTAAAGATGGGTCAGTGTGTGTATTGATCCAAGGTCCTGCTGCACTACAACCAATCGATTATTATGAAAAATACGAGCCGTTACATTTTCCGTCCACATCGTTGGTAGACCAAAAAACGGATGTAAAGGAACAAAACCAAGAAGCTCTTGAAAGACTGACAATGGTACATATCAAGTTATCAGAAAATGTGCTCTGGTTCGAAAACCCTAAACCAGCCATGTGGAATGAAGAAAAAAAAGTTTGGACTACTGATTACATATATGACGTCAGGTAAATTGAAAATGACAGATTAATTTTTAATTTTTTCATTCACATATAACGTATCAAATATTACAAAACATATTAAGTTAACAACAATAAACTAAAAATGAAAACATTACGATATAATGTTAAATTGTCTATATTTTATGTTTTATTAGTAGTAATTTACTTTATACAGTGGCGTATTTAAGAATTTTTCATGAGAGGAAGTCCAGCAAATTTCTAAAAACATTTAAATGTAAGACTCCACTCCAATCTCTCCCCCAACATAACATTTAAAAATAAATTCAATTTATTACAATGCATTAATAAAAACCATTTTTATATTTATACTTATTTATTTTTAAACATATAAAACCATATTTATCAAACAAAATTCAATTTTCTAGGACTTAATGCCAATTCATAAATGATTACATCAACATCTAGATTTACGAGTATCTCCCGATGAACAGACATCATTGCTAATCCATTTAGTCTCGTATACATAATCATAAATTTAAAAATACAGTTATAACTTATATTTTTAATTCAACAAATGCATTATCATTTTTAAATGGTAGTCAATTAAATTCAACCAAATTATTAAATGATAACCTTTCTACATCTGTAAATGTAGAACTAAATTAAAAAAACATTATAAAATATACACAAAAATAATATTTATTACCGGTTTTTATTTTAACATAGATAAATTAAAAGTAATACCATCAAAAATTAATTTAAAATATAAAAATTGAGTTGTTAATTGGTTGATAAAATTGTCTATAGATTTTATAAAAACTGTTACTCTATAATAATCTTCTATTGAAGAAACTTGAGGATTCGCTCTAATTGTTTGTTTTTTTGCTGTGCGTTTTTTGGTTATTTATAATTTATTTATAATTTGCTCAATTCTATTAAAATATTAGATTTTGTTAATAACTAAATATTATTTATTTTAATTTTTCCTATTTAAAACGAAAATAATAAGGATAAATAAATAAAATAAATAATAGGAACCCTATAACCCCCCCCCCCCGCCGTAAATACACCACTAACTCTATATAGTTTCATAACACTTAAATACATATATAATTTCGAGTGTTTATTTAAATTCCATAACATAGTTGACTACAATAAATTTATAGAATTTTGTATTATTTGATTGTTATCCTACTTATCTATTAGGCGTTCGAGTGATCGTGCAGTCACATAACCTACACGCCTCTATTTTTAGTTTATACCAATCATATGCTCCAACCCACGGATCCACAATTAATTACCAAACAAACCTTTTTGAACCGCACGTAGTTTATATAAAAAATTTCACTAGTTTTACAAAAAAAAAAAAAACTGAGGTTATTGGTCAGGCATATAATATGTTAAGGGAAATCGGTAAAATTTTTCTCCAGATATTTTGTAAAATAAAAGTAATTTTAAGAGCAATCAGTACATATCCTACAAGGAGTTATCCGTTTCCGCCAAAATTGTACCTTTCCCTTTTCCGCCAATGCAATATCCCGCAAAATGAAAAAAGTTAGTCTAGTATTTGAATATGATTGGATGATTTTATCCATAGGCGCAATTTCGATAAAAAAAACTGAGGGTGCTTAAGCTCTATATTTATTGGGTATTTAATTTATATTAAAACTATAAGGATTTAATGAGCCAATTTTTAAATAAATACAAATAAAAGTTCCGGTGGGGTTCCGGTTTTAAAATTAATTTAAATTAGGGTTTCGGTGAACTCGACAAAATGTGAATTGACCTTTGTCGAGTAACATTGGTTTCATTTATATTTCATTATAGTGTTATACTCTAATAGTCAAATATCTGATGACAAAAATAAGTTTTTGATACATAAACACCAACATTATTTGAGGGTGCAAATTGTAAAATAGGGGGTGCTAATACCTCCTAAGCCACCCCCTATTTGCGCTTATAATTGTATCTATTAAAACTATTAATTATACAAATTAATTAATTAAAATCTAGAAATTGTTTTATCCCTTTTATGTATAATACACGTTTTTTTTTATGAATAAAAGAATATTGTAAATTGAACACAAAGTAAAAATAGTAAAAAAATTATAGAAAATTCGACAAATGTTAATTATTTTTCCGTCGTAAGATTTCTGTCCAATAATAAATTTACCACTGATTATCGTATTTTCTTAACGCCATCGATTATGTTGCTAATTTTGTTTATTTAATTAATACCATTAATATGACATTTATCAATGTAAAAAATGTATGAAATTTAAATAAAAAATAAATATTAAAATCTTGAATTTTTTTTTTTATATATATATATATATATATATATTAAGTTGATTTAAAATTTAAATATAATATTTCAATATTTAATTTAAATAGTAGACTAACTTATTTTATTTGACCGAAAAGTGAATCGATGGAAAAGAGAAAGGTATATTTTTGACGGAAACAGGCCATACCCCCAGAACGTCCACTAAGGTCGGCGGCTAGGCGGGTGAACAAAAACAAAATGTGCCCTGTAGATAAATGTTCATAAACATATATAGGTACATATACATAACCGATGCGTGTGGTATGCGCAGGTTCAACGAGGAGAAGCAGATGGTATCTTTCCGCACGGGTCGAATGGGTTTTTTCGGGCTGGCCGTCAACCGGTACTCGAACTTTCCGTTTCAGACGTGGGAGATACGGCCCGAGGACAGCAGCAGCCCGTACAGCGGCGTCATTCTGTCCGTGACTTCGGCCACGGTGCTGATTGAGTTCGCGGTACGCGGCGACCACGTTGCCATGGTGCAGCTGCAGAACGCGACCACAGCGGTGGTGCAGGAGTTGATCGGAGTGTACCACCGACCGGACAAGCTGGTGCGGTTGCTACGCCGCAGCGGCATTAACCTATTTCCCGAGCCGGACGCGTTGCACTACGTAGACGGGCGCCGGCCACCCAAGCACGCGGTTGCCGAGCGCCACACGTATCGATGCATGGCTGCCCTGAGCGGCACCCACCAGTTCACCGCATCCCAGAAGAACGTCCACGTGGCCACCGACCGGATCGTGATGCAGATGAAAGAAATACCGGTCGACGCTGCTGGTTTCGCCGCTACGGCGGACGATGGTGGTGTAGGAGTCCCGTTCCAGATGATCATGGTGACGCCGGAACGGGCCGTGCTGCTCAAGTGCAACGAGGTCGACCAAACGTTCTCGGAGGAACCGTTGAACACGGACGACGACACGCCGTTCGCACCCGACCTGTTCACGCTGGCCGCGGACACCGCAAGCACGGATCACGTGCGCGCCGCCTTGGCCGACGTCCGTGACTTCAAGACCGTACAGACATTGTACTACCTGTTGGACAAAATTAAACCCTTGAGTTACACTTGATCCAGTGAAAGTGGAGGTTCTAGAACCGCCAAATTTGTCCTACTTATTTCGTTCAATAAATTGCATATTTTCCAAATTTTTATTGCACATTTTACCATATATTATAAGTATGTTGTTTTTAAAGGTATGTATATGTGCATAATTGAGTACTTTTTAGTGCATTTAGTTCCCAGTATTGGTTGTAACACTGAATACCATGTCTCATTTTCGAATTTTATATTTAAAAAACCCGCTGGCACGTAGGGTTCCCAAGCGGTCACCCGTCCAAATAGTAACTATGCCCGACGTTGCTTAACTTCAGTGATCGGACGAGAACTGGTGTATTCAACATAATATGGTTTATTTCAAATTTAACTAAATAATATATCAAAATTTCCATTGTTTTGCTTCGAAAAACATCACCATATCAGTAATGACTTTATCAATGATATATTGAACAGCAGTGCTCAACTTGTTGGGGGACGGAATACCTCAACTAATTTTCAGATATTTTAGCGACCCTTGTTATTATTATTATTATTACGTTATAATTTTAACGCTTAACAAGTTTTAAGAACCTTCTTTTTTTTTTTTAGTAAACAGAGTCCCTCTTTTTAATTTTGTCAAATTAAGCACTGTTGAACAGACAATAAATAAAAATACCAAAACTAGTAGTAGGTTCCTAAAAAGAAAGTAATATGAATCCTTGTCGAATGCTGTGTTAATATTAACTTTCATCGTAGATAAAATTTGAAATCAATGGAATTTGGTTGTTGTATATGAAAATATTTTTTTTAGTATTCTCCATTGTGAAGTTATTTAGTCGAGTTATTTTTTCACTTTTTTTTTAGATGTAGCCGATTCACACACAGCGCGATTGCTGCCATGCGAGACTATCGGGTATGCGGTTTTTAAATTATCTACATAGTAGATAAATAATTACCTAAATAATTACTAAAAATGTTTTTAAAATTTATATTTTCATCCGAAAACGATTAAATTGTAGTGTGCCGGGTGATGAGTTGACACGGTTATACAACGTTAAGTTGTAAGATACAAATGTAGAAAATAATAAACGAACAAATATACGAATACTTGTTACGGTATTAAGAATAATTATTAACACTTCTAATTAAACCAATATAGATAAGATAAAAATTACAATGACAAATATAAGCAGAGCGTCTGTTAGCAGGATACGTCTGACGTTGGTGCTGCAGTTTTATATGTCAGTGGATGACCTCTTTTTGTTGCACTTTCTGTTCTGCTATGCATATTTAATTGATTATAATTATTTTTAATTTATTTACGGGGCCTGTCCGATAAGTTCTTAGCCTTACCGCAAGATAGCGCCATTATCGCAAAAAAAAATTACTATCGTGTAGAACAGGGGTTCTTAACCAGTGGTCCATGGACCCCTAGGGGGTCCGTAGATGGTTACCCGGGGATCCACAGACTGATTTGCGTTTTTTGTTTTTTTTTTTTTCAAAAAATACCCAAAATTCAATTTATGCAAGAGTAATTCAAATTATTAAATGAATCAAGATAGTCGGTTGAAGTAGAAATTATTTTATTTATTTTATACATTTTAAATTTCAACCGTAAACTATTTACATTTTCTTATCGATGTATAATATATTGGTACAATTTCTGAAAACGTGAATAAGATAATAATAACGTCTTGCTCGTGTTCCTCCTATCGATAGACAATTAACCAGTCATTATTTTATGTTTACCTAATACCAATTATGGAAACCCATCACTTATTAGTTGACTCGTAACCGACGTATTGAACGTTCTGCCGTTGAATCTTATTACGTGTTTCGAGTGTTCCGACTTTCACCACGTTATATTATTACATTTTGCCATCATACTATAATATTCACTTTAATTTTCACACTTCTTTATTTTATTTTTTTGAAATTTCAACAATATGTCCATGTCAAAAAAAAGAAATATTAACAATTCATATGAATTGTTTGGTTATACATTTATTACTGAACGCAATGGTACGCAAAAACCACAATGTTTTATTTGCAGAAAAGTCCTTGCGAATGGAAGCATGAAACCAGCTAAACTCAAAGAACATTTGGTTTCATTGCATCCTCAACATATGTCAGATAATTCGGAAGTCTTTCTAACAAAAAAGACACGTTTTGAAAAATCAGGTACTTTATCTCAACTTGGATTTGTACCACCACAGAAACCATGTCTCGAGGCATCTTACAAAGTAGCGTACTGCAATGCTCGAAATAAAAAACCGCATACCATTGATGAATCACTAATAAAATCATGCGCATTAGAAATGGTAGAACTAGTTTGTGGTTTGGAACAACGAAAAAAAGTTGAAGCTTTTATACCTTTGTCAAATAATACTATTTATTCCAGGATCTCTGACATGTCAACTAACATTTTGGAACAAGTTCTTGCGGAATTAGATTTATCTCCTTTTCTATTTAGTATGCAATTGGACGAAAGTACTAACATCTCTCAATGCAGCCAATTATTAGTTTTTGTTCGTTATATATATTCCGGAACTAGTAAAGAAGAATTCTTATTTTGTCAACCACTTTTGAAAAATACAAAGGCAATTGAAGTATATGAAATGATAACTAATTTATTTTCCAAACATAAACTAAATTATAAAAAAAACTTGGTTCGATGTGCACCGATGGCGCTCCTGTGATGCTGGGTAAAACGTCTGGTTTGACGGCTTTGATAAAGAAGGAAATTCCTAACATCATCATCACTCATTGCTTTCTTCATAGACACGCTTTGGCATCAAAAACTCTACCAACGGATCTAAAAGAAATTATGACGACTGCAGTCAAAGTTGTTAATTTCATCAGATCTAGAGCTTTACATCACCGACTTTTCAAGGTTTTATGTCAAGAAATGGGAGCTGAACATGAAGTTCTTCTTTACTACACAGAAGTACGTTGTCTTTCCATAGGACAAGTTATGTAACGTTTGTATGAACTTCGCGAAGAAATTTCTTATTTTTTAATAGAAAGGCAAAGCTCACTCTCTAAACATTTCAATAATATTGAATTTATTCATGGATTGGCTTATTTGTCAGATATTTTTAGTCATTTGAATGAAATTAATACATTGATTCAAGGACAAGATGTTTCAACTATGGACACAGCCGAAAAAATAAGTTCATTTGTAAATAAAATTCTTCTGTGGAAAAGAAAATTGCAGTCAGATAATTTAGCAAACTTTCCAACAATTGAACAGAAACTTTCAAAAACCAATATTAATTTGACCAGCTCTATAAAAACACAAATTTATGAACATATTGATAAACTTGAAAATTTATTAAACGATTATTTGAATTTTATATATTCAAAAATAAACATATGGTTACATAATCCCTTTGTTGTGGACTTAAATTCAATTGATGATTCAGACCTGGTAAAAGATGAATTAATTGATTTAAGATCGAAAGAAATGACGCGTCAAGATTTTTAAACCAAAAGTGTAATTGAATTTTAGTGTACAATGATACAGGCTTATCCTCGAGCTGTATCCAGGGCAATGCAATTTTTTATTTCATTCGTCACTACATATCTCTGCGAGTCTGGATTTTCTTTAATGGCCATAATCAAAATAAAATCACGAAACCGATTGGACATCAAAGATGATATGCATGTTGCCCTGTCCAATAAAGTTCCAGATTTCAAGAAAATAATTATATCAAAACGACAACAAACCTCACACAAAAAATCTCTCTTATGCCGCTATGTCAGTAACTATGTACAAATGTAACTTAAAGTTTTTGTATTATCATTAAAAATAAATAAACGAAAAACTTAATTGTTTTTTTTTTTTTAGGGAGGGGGGATCCGTGGTTATACCTTTTACTTGAAAGGGGTCCATGATCCAAAAATGTTTAAGAACCCCTGCGCTAATATGTTAATTACGACAGAACAAAAAAAAATTTTCAATTATTTTCGAATGTCGATACCTACTTTTGATGACCTACTAAGAAAAGTAGAAATTAGTTTGACAAGGCAAGACACAACTATGAGAGCAAGCATAAATCCAAAAGAAAAATTAACCATCTATTTAAGGTAAGTTATATAGTTTTATTTCTGTACTTATTCATATTTTAATGAAAATAATAACTTTTAACAAAATATAATAAGTAATAAAATAATAATAATAATTAATATACTTAGCTCTAAATTATATCAGCAAAGTCGTATTCCTCGGGCTCTTGACTTGTGGTTGATATTACTGAAAGTGTTGCCGATATCACACTTTCTGGGCTAGCTGTTGATTGGTCTATGTTTATGTTCTGGAAATGTAATTAAGGTTGTTGAAGCAGTTGGGAGTAATATCCATAATTTTACCATAGATAATTTTGTTGCATAAGAGTTGGTGTTAGTAAATTGTGTTGATCATGGTATGCATATTGCGAGGTTTTTTTTTTAATATTTTGTAACAACGATATGACGCCTGCTTGGAATTCTAAAATTTGATCCTCATTAAGTAATGACATGCTAGGCACAAGGCCTTTGAAAAATGACATATGACATTTCTTCGTTCTTTGGTGTCTGTAATTGGTAATCGATAAATTTTAACATTTTTGCATCCAATTCACGCGTCCGATCTGACTTGCGCTTTTTTTGTATACCAGAAATACGTGGTTGGTTAGCTGGTGATTCATTAAGAAGGTTTTTTCCCTCTCATCAGTTTGGTTTGATCCTTTATTTTGTTCAATCGGACCATCCTCAGCACTTTCTTGGGTAGTTGTCGAGTCTATTATTTTTTTTAAAATACACATTTGATTATGGTACAAGTACAATCTTGATGGCTTAGCAGAAGATTCAGATCTTTTTTCATCTTTTTGTTTTTTGATCGATTTCATCCACGAATCTCTTGTTTGGGTCCATTTTTTCAAAACGATTTTACCTGGTTTAAATGATTTAAATGATAATTACATTTTTATACAAATATACTTATTTATTCTTAATTTTTTCTCTTGGGTATTTAGCGTCTGGGTGTTCATTTAAAGATCATCATTATTCCTATTGAATCGATATTTCAACAATAAGCTACATTGTAAGATAAGTAATAACAAATATATGGGCCAATCTACATAATGAGTTCATGCAATTACCAACTTAATCTACAGCCTGAGAACAAATATCGAATGGTTTTCAATCAAGAGCCAATTTTCCGCACTGTATTGGTGCTGTTGATGAAAAACATATACGAGTAAAAAAACTTTCAAATTGTGGATCGATGTATTTCAACTGCAAGAACTATTTTTCAATTATATTATTAGCCGTTGTAGATTCTGAATACCGGTTTATATATGTAAGTCCATGCTGATTCTTTTGACACCTTATCCTTATATATGTCTAATGTTTTATCCCACAATGCAGGTCTTGCTTCGATCAATGATATAAGCATATCTGTATTTATATCATCCATTGTATTTATATTATCCGTTCACATATAATTAAAAATTTAATAACTAATTGTAATTGAATTAAATTAAATTAGCTGTAATTAAAACACTTGTAATTTTAATAAATTGTAAAACACAAAAACGACTATATACTAGCAATTATTCGACAGTAGCACAGACGAAAAATGACGCACTATCGGTCAAAATATCGAATCGTCAGAACACACTGTCTATAAATGCATTGCCACAATAAGCCGAATCGGTTTTTCCACCGTACGATCGAAACCGATTTGCAGTGACAAAACTGAATGACAAAATCAACCTAATCGTTAATTTTACCGTATACAGTAAAATGCCGTATCGTCTGAAAATATGCATTTAAATTATATTGCCACTGGCTTATACGGTAAAATCAACGATACGGTAAAACTACCGATTTGGGATCCTGTGAATGGGCTCTAACGGTTGAACTGACGGCATGCAACAGAACAATGAATAGATTCTAGATAAAACAAGTCATTGGGAATTTCCCATAATATATCGGTAGCCACGATAAGTACACTCGTCGTCTACATTGTGTTCATCATCGAATTGGCGGCGTCTGGTTATCGATTAGTTATTACCAGAGCTCATAACTTATAGCTCTAAAAAAGGCTGTAATAAGGTTGTAATATATTCTAAAAAGTATTCAAATAAGCCTTTAAATATGCACTAAAAATACTAAAATACGCAAAAAAAAAACGTTTGTATACAAAAATTATTATTTATTATATTATTTTATTATTTTAGCTTCTATTATCAACCAAAAAAAAAAAAAAAAAATTAAATACTGAATTCACGAAACGAACTAGCATGCATACAGTACGAAAAATCGGAAACGACTTTTCAGCACAGAAAAAAAATAAAACTAAATGCACTGAGACCGCTGCAATTAATATAAAATAAATGAAATTTAGTTTAAATACTTCATTGACAATTGACACTTTGTATAGAAATCATGAAATAAAATCGATAATAGTTTGTGCTAAATGTAATGACAAACGTGTTTGCTGCAGTTGTAGATATATGCCGTGAAGCAACGCCGCAACATGTCTTCTAATTGGCTGATATTTTGTTTATCTTAAATTAAAAATACATTTTCGTCAACATAACTGCAAATGCAGTTAATGCAATTCAATACCATTTTACAGTTGTTGAATTGAGAAATAACAAAATATTGATCATGTTTCATTGACATTAAGATGTTTTCCTTAAAACTAATACTATTATAGGAAATTTTAATTATGGTATTCAATCACATTGATTCTAAGAAAATTAGCATTGATGTAAATATTGATTGCAATATATTTAAGGTAAAAGTAATTGGTTTTAAACCATTTTGTTGATAATTTAAGTACTATTTTTCATTAATTCAACGTTATAATTATGTGTAAACATTAAGATAACTTTTTTCGTTTTTAAGTCAGTTTAACATAAAACATAATATATTTTTTTCTTTATTTTAAAGAAAAATTAGTTATAAAACTAATGGATTTGTTAAAATTTGATTATATATTTCTATTCTTAAATTAAAGAAAATATTTTTAAATTAATTATATTATCATTGAAATGATGAAATCTGTCATACGTTTTAAGAAAACAAGAAAATAGTAAATCAATGTAATGAAATCATAGAAATTAAAACTGTATATTTCTTGAGTGTAAAGTTGTAGGTTTTTTTTCGTTTTATTTGTTTACATAACAATATCTGTATTTAGATTTTAAGTATCATGATTAGGACCGGGGTGAGACCGGACCGGACTGAAAATAATGCATTTGATCTGAGGACTGAACCGAACTACTCCCAAAAATTATTGAACAGAACAAAAAATAATTTTTGTATGTTAGGACCGTACTAGACCGGACCATGCAGAGCACTACTGCCACGTATAGGCCTCAAATTTCTCTACATTAAGTCATAACAACTTGCCATTGTCTTTAAAATCATCCTAAATCGTTATATGAGTTTTAAATTTAAATTTGTTATATCAGCACTTATTTCCGAGTTTTAAAAAATTTACGAGAAGTATTACCGTCATTAGTTATTCCTTTGCCTATATTATGAAAAAACAAAATTTAATAATAAAAATTATAATCTAAAATTGAATGTACTTATAATAAATAATTCCTTGTAAAACTACATCTACAAGAAGACCAATTTCTGTTCTAAATCGATCTTGGATATATTTTTATTTTATTTTTATATAAATAATTTTATCTTCAACTGACCGGACCTGTTCACAAATAACACGTTATAAAACGCATGTTTTTCATTTATACTAAATACCCATTGCTCGTTATAATCATTAATCATTGTACTAACTTGCCATTTTTTTTTAACTCCGATTTGTATGAAATGTATAATAGACATACGAAAAATCGTATATACGCATAAAGTTGTAATACTCGGGTTGTACACATAAACTTTTTGCTCAGGTAATATCATTCAGATCTTTTGGAAAACACTTACAGATATAGCATTATTGGTTTGATGAACCAATAATATTGAATATTAAATATTGAATTCTCAACCTCAAATATGTTTAAGGATCGTTTGTTAATTTTTGTGGGTTGCAAGACTTAACTAACTAGACTTAAATAAAACGTAAAATAATTTATTTAATAATAAATTGTAATAAAGGTTTGTGAAACTTACTTTTTCGTCTAACATAATGAAAATGAATGTGCTCTGTATTTGAAATTCAATGTCATTTTTAAAAATTTGAGTTTAAATCAACAACTTAATTTCTTCTTTGACAGCATTTACTTCTTCTATGTCGACTCAATAGTTTCCTTTTTAAAATCGAATTTTATCGGACGACAGTAATGGGTTGACGATAGACAAAGATTTTTCCATAAAACTACATTATTAGGATTGTCTACCTTTTTACATCTCAAATGTAAAGGAACCGGTGAAAACATAAAAATATCGGAGTCATCGTCATTAGATGCATGAAAAATTTGCTTAAATCGAGATTGACTACTGTTTCCATCACATCCCCATTTATATAATATTTCAAAATTGTTCATCGTTGAATCTATGGTATATCTGAAATTGAAAATATTCTCTGGATAGTGCGATCAACAAGGTGCTACAATTTAATTTTAAAAGAATATACTGTAATTTAAATATTTGGTGAATAGCATATTTTTTTTTGGCCGTTAAAACATTATCGTGTCTCGGGTAAACATTTCCTAGCTAAAAATACGTAAATACGTTCCTTAGCTGATTTACGAATATTGGTATTGCATATCGTAAAAATATTATTGTTGTTTCGTTAATTTATTATTTATGAAAAATGCTAAGGCCTCATCAAAAGAATATGGCATGATGGCATTGTCAATTGATAGAGAAGACATATATATTTTTTTAATTTTTAAGGCACGAATTTGAGAGAATAACGATTCATTTTCTATACTATAAACTGCTCGTTTTCCAAACTTATATAGTTTAGTTTTAGCAGCAAATACAATTTCACATACTAAAAAAGTGGAAAGCGCATACAAATGCATACAATGAAATAAATGAGTTACTTGGATTTTTTTTTAAATGTGGAAGGAATTGACGATGATATTTTACGAGAAAAATTAAAGCAATTAGTAAATATTTATAGTGCTTATAACCGGAATTTGAGAATGAGATTATTCAATTTTAAAACAATAATGAAGTATTTTTCAGAAGATGAAAAATTATCTATGCTCAGTTTTCTTGAAGTATTAACAGTATCAAAGTTAAACGATTCATTTCCCATTGTTAGTAGCTTTAAAACTTTTTATATTTAGGGCGGTTGGAAGTAGCGTATTTATTTCATGTTGTAGACCTAAAAGCCTGACAAAATTACGCATATTTAAAATCATCATAATTGAAATCTGTAAAAATATTTGAGTGAATTAACCTTTTTGCTAGGTTAATGTGGAAACCGATTTTTGATATTTATTTAAAAATTGTCTTTAAATCTTATTTGAGTTTCTCAATTTTTTTTTTAATTTTTAGATTTACTTCAGTGCCTTTTTTTAAGAATGTTAAACAATGATTCTAAAATCGACTTCCACAATAACCCAGAAAAAAGGTTGATTAACTCAAATCTTTTTATAGAATTAAAATCCGATCATTTTGAGTTGACGTTTTTTTGTCAGGCTTGATTAATTCTCAGAGTTTCTTCATCGAAACAAAATATTTTATTTCATCAAATGTTATGACATGTGTAGGCGCGTGCAAACCATTAATTGTTTCACCGAAACGTTTAATGCCGGCGCGCAATGCCAGCCACCTGCAAACCGATATTATATAGATCCCTATATAGTTTTATTGTGAATTCAAATAAATTGTATTACCTATATTTATAATTTGGTATATTTACTGTAATGATTTTTACACATACTGTACGGTTGCAGTTACTTACGGATTGAGTCGATACTTATTATTTACTAGCTTAATAACTCGGCTTCACACGGAACATTCTTGGCCGTGACATAGATTTTAATGGATTATTACTTTACACTATTTAAAACCAAGTTCAGTGTAACTGTTGATGGTAATAAAACAAACGAGAGTTCAAATGAATCAGTATAGTAATTTTGGTAATACGTTGAATTACCTCTAAATTACCGTATTTGCTGGTTCCAATGTTTTTTAAAATCCCTTCTTATTGCATGTATTGAATATTGGAGAGACCATCATGTCAAATTTCGAGTTCATATAGTTTTGAGAGTAGCGATGATCAATGAGGAGTAACAACTGACGTCCATTGAGAAAATTATGAGTGTTAAATTTTTTTTGGGTGTTACCATTGAACCTATATATTTTAAGTATATATCACCCGAAATAACGGTTGAAATATTAATTTGTTATATTTTATAATAAGTAAATATTAAATATAGCCATGTCTATCACGCCTTGCTGTACTGTTTACGATATTTAAGCATATACTAATATCCTTACAACAATGTTAAATTTATTTTGGATTATTATTTTTTTATTTATTCATTTTATTGAGAAAAGTTTGACAATTCGAGGTTTCAAATAAATGCTATTTATTAAAGTGTATTTGGATTACACAATATTTTTTGTTTTTCCTTTTGTAGTGCGTACACAAATAAATCAGAAGGTTTTCTAACGTGTGAGCAGGCCACACACAGTTATCCATGTGAGAAGCATGAATTTTCAAAATCCAGTTCACATATTCTTTTAATTGTCCTTTTAATTTGTTAATGATCATTGCAAAAGCAAGTCGCACTGGAAACTACAAAAGTTTGAATTCTTATTGCTTATCTGTTGGAGTCATTGGGATGCGTGGTTTAGTACATGATCACCTTTAATGTATCATTTGTTTATTTATGTTGATATAATGATTTGCCTATATATTTTAAAGTTTTAATAAGTTATTGTTTAATTAACTCAAAAATGTATAAAAAGGATGTTTATATAATTTATTCTGTTAAAAAGTTAGATGTCATAGAAAATAAAAGACTGGTTTCAATTTTATTTGTTTATTAATATATAAGTTTTTTTAATATATATGTTTATATTATTTTAATATTCTTTGTATATTAGTCAATAGTTGTGTTTCTTCAACATCATTTTCAACACATTCAATTATTTATTTATTCTAAATTAACGTAAGATTAATATTGTCTATTGAAAAAACTATAAGATTCACATAAACATAAATTCAAATGCGGCTCTAAATTGTGCGGTGTTAATACCGTCGCACGCCCGCGTGTGTAACTGCAAAATGCGCGCCCGCTCGAAGGTTAAATTTTTCGTTTAAAATGATGGCTTCGATTATGTTGGTATACAGTTTAGTAACTTACATAATTCTTAATCGGTGATTATTAAAATCAGCATATAAACAAATCAAATATTTCATAGGTAAACAAAAATTGAAAAATGTATGCATCCAGTCTAAAACTGTTTCGACCTTTAAATATGTGATTTTCGAAAAATCCTTTCTTATTACCCAGTGAAAGACTGTTCCAAATTTCAGGTGCGTACATTGAATAGTTTTGAGATTCAGCGATAAGTCAGTGGTATTTGGATTTTATATTCCTACTATATATATAATATAATATGAGTATTGGTGTACGCTGAAATTATTTTTATCGATAAACTTCTTAGAACAATTATTCTTATATACACGACGACGATGACGGACAAAAAAATAGTTTGCAGGTAGCTGGAAACCAGCGGGCCACCGTGCCGCATAATACGTATTGGCGGTGAATAATTATAATTGTTAATTACTTCACTAAAACAACATTTTTGAAAATCCTTTCTTATTGCCCGGTGAAAATATGAGAAGAACGTCTATTCCAAAATTCAAGTCAATACGTTGCGTAATTTTTAAAATACAACGATCAGTGAGTGAGTGGTATTTGGATTTTATATGTATAGATTACTTGTAGGAGCCACATCTAACGTTTAGTTTCAAACATTTTTGTGCATTGTTACTTGATTTTATATGGATTCATTACTTCTAGAAATAAAAGATAAACTTTTTTTTACAAAATTTGGCAACCGGTGATTCTCACACTCGAATTGCAAATGCGTTATACTTATTAATTATTATGAATTGATATATAATAATAATAATAATAATAATATTGAATAATATTATATATCTTGCGGCGTATAAACGACGACGGTAATGACAGTCCGTTTGCTGATAAAGTCGGAACGTATTATTTCTGGGAAGTTACACACACACTAATAATTGTTTACTAACGCACATAACTCACAAGGCATAACATCACGCGTATAAGGTATTGTCTATACTCAACCCCTTAAAAAATGTCCGCTTCCAACCCCCTTAAACCATGTTCAAATACTAGCGGAGAAAGATCCTTCTCAGTTTTAAAAAGAGTCAAGAACTACCAGAAAACATAATTATCTAATGAAAATATGTCATAGTTGTCTCTAATATCTATTGTAAATATTTTCCTAAAAAGTATAGGTTGGAAGGAACGATATTATTAAAGAGTTTGCTACACAGAAAGCTCAAAAATAGTTGTAAATGTTTTATATTGAATAAATTTGTATTAAAATGTTTATATTTAGTACCTACTAAGGTCTATAAATTTAAAAACTACCGGTGTTACAATATGTTTATAAATATAAATTAATTAACTATGTTGTTACTTGTTGTACCTATATATATATTTTTTGGTTTATGGAGGGGGTTGAAGGGCGGAATTTTAAAATCTGCACCTATGCGACAAATTTGTTAATCCTGCACTGTTTACAATAAATCCTTGCAATATTTTTTTGTTTCCTTATAATTTCCTTACATTAAGAACACAATTTTAAAAAGGCCTATGGGGGGATCTGACCCCCACATCCCCTCCTTGTATACACCCCTGACTACAATGAAAAATAACAATATAACACTGTTAAATGTTAAATGGCGCTTTGGTTAGGCAATTCAGGTACATTCATGGTGGTAAATAATTTTACATGGAATTTCTGTCTTCTTATCTTTGTGTTCATAAACAAATTTAATATTTTAATTTTTCTCTTATTAAAATCCTGCGCAAAAATCACCGAAAACTAGTATTTGATTGTATTAATATTATTGTTAAATGGTAATGCACACTGAAAATATCTATAGCTAAAATATATAACAAATTTATTCGACAGAGTTATATGAATATTTATTTCTCTCAAATATTGAATAATATCGATAGTAATTCAGGTAATTCATTTTTGTAAATTGTCCGGATTTTAAAAACATATTTTTTCCATTCATTTTAATAATTAATATATTTTACATTCATGGAAATTTTCGAACAAGGAAAAACTTAGTCAAATGCATAAGGGCTAATAACTAGTGCAACATTTAAGACATATTATTTTTAGTTAATTATCATACATATATAAATATACACATATTGATCTAATAAGCTATTGTGAACATTATTAATATTTATTTTAATTATTATTCAATTTCATCACAGAATACATCACCATTGTTAAACTAATACATTTCTCGTTTACCTCACAATCTCTAACTATGATTAATGTAGTACATACAATATAATAATATTACATCAATAATGAGTTGCGATTATTAACAGGTAAATATACAAGGTTAAACTACACATAATATTTCATATTTATTCATGCGGCAATGTAAAAATGAGATAAGCAGGTACAATAAATATGATACAGTATACAACAATTGATAGTATAATATGTTTATATAATTATTCATACAATAGCAAGTATAACAAACATAGAACTGAAATTTTCTATCACCTATATTGATATTTATATCATAATATTCTTTATATATTATATTCTCACGAATGCAATAATATGTAGTAAATGTTCTGTGCTATATTTAGATAAATAATAAACCCACTGACCGATAATACCAAACCTTTTTCGACCTAAATTCAATGACAAATACATTCTATAATAGAATCTTGATTCTGAGAAATCTTACCAGCCCGTGTGTTATGACAGCTTTCTGCTTAATTGCGCAAGTTTTGGTTGATGAGTACACGACACGAAGCTGTTGAGTTTCACGGATAGCAAATCAAAATTAACGCAAGTACACTACGACTTTTCAACCCACCACCTACTACTGACATTAAGCTACGGAATTTTCCGTAAAAACATTCTGACAAAACAAATACAAAAATGAAAACGGTGTGATGGAAAAGTGAAGTATTTACAAAAGTATAATGTTCGAAGTCAAATAAATAATATATATTTAAGACATATTGAATTTATATCACGGGAAGAAGCATTATCTTACAAAAAAAATATATTTATAATAGTTATAATAATAATAAAATGCGATGTAGATAAGCGTAGTAATAATGTATATATCGTATACATGAATACGATCGCATAAACGAGACATAGTTAAATAGATACATAATGATAAAATCAATAATAATTATAATATAAAAACAATATAAACACTCTCATAATGCGACGAAATATATATATATATATATACATACACGTATTGGACGCCACCGTCGCGACACACGTGTAAAGTATATACGAGTATTGATAAACGTGTGTCACGCGAAGAAGTAAAACATTTTAAAGTTTAAACCAACATCAATGTAAAATAACAATAGTGTTGTTAGTGTTGTACCGGTATTGGTGTTGCTTCCACTGCGTCGATTCACAGGAATCCCATGTCCAAAGCATTGTATAGAGCCCGCAGATCACTGTGTCCAGATACTCGCCAGAACGGAAAGTTCATCTGTCCGATACAGAAAACAAACGAATAAATATAACACATTCGACACGCGACACACGCGCCGTTTCTCAACCAAGTGACCATCGGATAGAACGTAAAACGATCGTTTTATCGCGTGATACATCAATAACTCGATCAAAATGTTGAGCAACGTAAAACTTAAATTGTGTACATCCAGTACCTGACGAGCAGCTCGCTCCTCCTCAGCCCCGTCTCCAATCACCACGTAAGTGCACTTCCGACCGTATCGCTGCACCACTCGGTCGAAACACGATTCCTTGGACGAGCCCGCAGCCGTCGTCGCCGCAGCCGCGGTTCCGCTTCCCGATTTGCTGCCGCCCGTCGACGGACCACCGCCGCCACCCCCAGCGGCCGAGTAAACGTTTTCCACTGAAAAATGCGGCCCCAACCCGTACAGGAGCAGCTTGGCCAACGCAGGGATCAGATGGGTGGTGGTGACCAGCACGTTGACGCAATTGGGCCTGCAACGAGAAGCGTTCGGATCAAAATGAAACAATATGACGAAACCGGTCGGACAGTGTTCGGGTGCAACGCACCAGGAAGGTCGGGTTTCGTGTACAAACAGATTGTGCGGAATGCATTTTTGACCATTTCAATAAAATTACGAAAACCCATACCTCGAGTTGATGACGTTCAAGCACTTGACGGCCATCGTAAGCCAATCGTCCGTGTGCAGTTCGATATCGGCCCGGAGTTGAAGCCACGCGTCCCGTTTGCGGGGTCCCAAAAGCCCTGCGGAAAGAAGAATATCGAATAAAAACAAATTCTCAACTAAACACAGGACAAGATGAGAATCGAAAGAAAGAAAAAAATCACAGTCAATTCTGTTACCTCCGACGGAGTTTCGGTACTGGTTATACAGCTCCTTAACTCGGCGGTACCGGAACGCCAATTTTCGCATCCAGTCCACTCCACCACCACCGCCTCCACCGCGTATGCTCCCGGTGCCTCTCAGACCATTGCCGGACGATGATGTCGAATTAGCGATGGAAGTTCCACCGGCGGGGCTCATCATTTGATGGTGTTGCTGTTGCTGATGGTGCTGGTATGGCTGCTGGTACTGGTGGTGCTGTTGCTGGTACTGGTGCTGCTGATGGTTGTTGCTACTATTGCTGGAGCTCCCGGAGTTGTTGAAGTGGTGCTGGTTGATAAAGTGGTGCTGTTGTTGCTGCGCATTGACATTGGATGCAGAAAATCCATCCGCACCGAAATCATAACCCGAAAGGTCTTGACCATTGTCGTCGGACGCGGCGTCGTCGATGTGCTGCGCCTGATCACCACCACCGCACTCCTAGACGAAAATCGCAAATACCTATTATTTATTTATGAACGTAAAAAAAAAACGGTCGTTTGATCATGATCTGTAGTATACCTCAATCTCGTTGAAAAAAAAGCTCTGGTCGGCCAGCGTGAAAATCATCTCTTCCATTCGGTAACCAAGTGGCTGCATTACACGTTGGTCCTAAATACAAATATAAATAAAAAACTGAAAACTACTTTAATTGCAATTTTGGGGAAGGTTTGTACCGTATACTTCGAAAATATGGTTAAAAATAATAAAAATCCGATCAGTAGACATCATATTGACTATTTTAATACAAAAGTATCTAGTTATATGTACAATTCATTGAATAAAAGTCACAACCGAGAATATTCGGATGCTCAAAATGCTTTTATTTTCCATTAATTGTCGACTAACAAATTATCAATGACTAAAAACGAATACCACTCAATGGAAATCCAATTTAGGTAATAAATATTGTAGCGACGACCAATAATGGGTGATTAGTATAACAAGAACACTCTAGAATCATTAACGCCACACACATTCAGTTAAAATCGAGTGATTTGACGGCACAGTTATATTTAAACAGATAAATCATACGTGTGTAGATCAATACTAGGTAGATTTTAAAACTATGCAGTTGATCGAAAATAAATTTAAGAAACCCATTGATAAAACTGTAGCAATTAAACTATACAGTTAAGACGATGCGTGTCTAGACAAGCAATGCAAAACTGTACAGTTCTTAATTTTACTAGTTTGGCGGTGGAGTAAGATTCTTGTTTTAATTTATTCAAAATTAAGTTAGTTAATAAGTTTTTAATAATTATTAAAATTGTATATCAACGTATATAACCGCTTTGAAAATTATAACAACAAAACTACATAAGTGGGCGGAAGAATAATTCATTGAAATTTATCATTCCAAACAGTGTCTTTAGAAAGTTTAACAAAAATAATCAAGATCTAAAAAAAAAAAAAAAGATGCCGCGTATTCAAAACTAATTTTGAAATTACATGAAATAAAAACGTCCATTACCCTGTCCCCCGCCATTCAAAAATGTGTGATTTTTTTTCATGTTTATAATTAGTACGTAATTTGTATGAATTTATACGACCATTTTACCAATTTTTTTGATCAGCAAAGTGTTATATTAACAAAATATAAAATATTTTTAGAATAATTCTGTAAAAAAATCACACATATCTTGATGAGGGGGGGGGACAGGGTAATGGACGTGAAATAGAATCTGATGTAAATAAAGAGTCAGTCATGAAAATAAATAAACAATATACGTTGTACCTATAAAAATTAATTTAAAATAGTTATAACATGAAAATCTGGATTGAGTTAAATAGATTTTATGAGCAAAGTTAATAATTGTAGAATATTTAAGAGATTCATATGTTCTTCCGGTCGCTAAGAATTTTAAAGTCGCTATCAATCTTTTGTGAGGCGATATAGCAGCCCTCATGAGTGTTTTGTTTTTGAATTAGTGGGGTAACTAAAGAAAGAACATCCAAACAGGTATCCTTAAATATTCATCCGTAAATAATTTTTAAAATCGTTTGTTATAATTCTCAATTATAAATAAATAAATTTATTATAAATTAATTCAACAAATTTGTATGTGTGTACTCACTTATTTTTAGTAACCATTGTTAACACCATAAGTTACTTTTTTTTACGTATTTTATTTTTTTAAATAAATATTAACCCGACTGTTACGAGAGCGTCATTAATCGCCGCCATGTAGTTGTTTGATTAATAAGACTACTACAATTTATTCCGATTGTACAGTAAAATCGTTTAGTTTTAATTGAGCATGTGTATGTTAACCATTAAAACTATTTATCAGTCAAATCGCTCAATTTTAACTGAACGTGTGTGGCCCCCTTTAAAAATCACCGAAAATAATCGAGAGCGTTATCGCCTCTACACATACCAGTCGAACAGCCGTTGTCCGACTTATCTACACCACGCGATACACAACTACTATATTTCACTACTACAAGGTGTTCCGAATATTATTATTTATAATTCTTATGATTGTACGCGTATTTGTGTCATTAATTATTATTCATAAAATAAATATCCATCACCGACAATTACAGCGTGTTCGTTAACATTCTACTAAGATACGCGGTATGATTTATGGGTATTGGGTATAAACGGGAACAATCGATCGTTTTCATTTTCAAAACGATTAATTAATTAATTAACTATCGATATTTACATTTTAATTATTTCAAATCATAATCGATATACTACGGCTAACTATTTCGATTTTTCTTCCGTTTCGAATTTTGGATTTTTAAATGTTTCTGCCTTACGAGCTTTTCTGTCACAACATTTTTTATTCAGTCACTTTTGGTATGTATTATTATAACGCATCGTACACTGCACCGCAACGTACACGGGTACGCTATCGACCATTCGGGTGAAAGTAAACGTAAGAGACACCCGTTTACGTGCGAGTACATATGATATAACCAGTGCTAGAATTTGCAAGGCCCTGGGCAAAATTAATGTTGGGTCTTATAATTTACATTAATAAAATATTTTAAGTTCAGTTAAATCAGAACCGCGGGGCCTTAATTATAATTAAAGGCGCGGGGCCCTGGGCAATTGCCCCTATTACCCATCCTCTCGCGCCGTCCCTGAATATAACCATTGCGTCGTACCTTGCCATGGGCCGCCGCGTAGCCGCCCGTCAACAGCGAGTTGAACACGATAATCGTTTCATCCAAGTCCCATATGAACACCCTGTCCAGAGGTGGGCTCTGCTGCTGTTCTGAGGCCACGGTCGTCGCCGGAGTAGTAGGTGGGCCACTACCTCCGCTGCCGAACTGCTGCTGCTGCTGTTGCAAGTGCGAGTGATGGTGCGGATGTGTGTGATGCGGGTGCAACAATAACGGTGACTGCTGTTGCTGCTGCTGAAGGGCTGCCGTGGACGCACCCGAAACACCTCCAGTCACAGTGGTCGTGGCCACTCTGCGACCTCGGCCACGACCTCCACCGCCGCAGCGACCGGCTGTTCCGCCGCCGGTACCGCCAGTGTCGTTTATCGTCGCCGACACAGCTGTCCGCCTGGACTTGACCACCGGCGGTGAAGATAACACTCCACCCGACGTCGGATCCGCCGCTGCCGCTGCTACTGCTGCTCTTAGTTGTTGTAAAGCCGGAGTAGGAGGGCTATCTGTAGTATGCGATAAGATAATAGTGAAAACGTGAACGCGTGATAACGTGTTGAACAAACGTCTTAATTAATACTAGTCGTTTTTTTTTTTTTTGGTTGTACAAAATAGTTATTTCAAAACTAAGTGTTAACTAAGATTAATCGAAACTTTAGAACCTCCAGTAATTGAAACTTAATAAAAAAATATTCCTAAAAAAATAAAATCGGTTTAACATAATATTTATAATCATGAGCGTTCAATGTGCATTTAATATAAATCTATCATAATTGCTATAGAAGATATAACTTTACGTTATGACGTAAAATGTATAATATTATGCATACAGTATCACCATGTTGACCCAAATTTTTTGCGCACACTACACATCATTTATTACACTGAACTTGATAAAATCAATGTGTAATAAAAATATAAATTATATCATTCATTAATATACAACCCATGTGATTCTTATAATACATAAACTGAGTTCTAATTTACATTGATATAGATTTATGGATTACTGTCTTGCCAAACTTCTAAGTTAATATAAATAATTCAGTTTTTAAAACTGTAATCAAATTACTGAATTTAAAATAAATTAATACTAAAATTAATAAAAAAAATGTTCGTTATTGCTTAAAAAAAATCAGTATGAAAAACATTATTAAATGATTGAGTCATATGGATTATGGTATTCTCAAATCATTTAAGTACAAAGTTACATATGTTATCAAAATAAATATAAAAGTAAATTGTACGAAATATAACGATATTTTCTAGTTTTATTATCTATTTTCAAAAAATAAGTCATTATTTTAAGCTTTCTGTTATCACTAGAGTAGGTAGCTTTCGGATCGAACATCTGTTGAGATTTAAAATCTTAAGTAACATATAAATATAGCTCTTAAATATAATGTAAAAATTAGCACGAACTAAACTAAAACTACCGATTAACTGTGTTCAATCAGTCGAGTGATTTTAAAACAGTGCTTAGCTCAAAACTTAATTGACTCCCAAAATTGAATAGTTCTGCTGATTATCATTAAAGTAACGACAAACTTTGATTTGAGTACAAAAACATGTTAAATACTAACCAGGTGCTGCTGGTAGCGGAGGTAGAGTGGGTGTGCCACCACCTATCACCATCATTTGGTGATGGTGCTGCTGCATGTCAAGTTGCTGATGCTGTGTTACCGAACTTGACCCCACTGGTGGCAGTAACATGTGCTGTTGTTGCTGTTGGTGATGGCCTCCATGCAGATGACCACCGGGATGGCTTTGGCTGCCACCACCATAGAGCGCTGCTGCAGCGGCATACGCGGCTGCTGAGGCGGCTGCAGCGGCCGCGGCGGCCGACGTTGACGTTGAATATCCGCCGTCACCGGTGGCGGCCGAGCTGACTATGTTTTCGTCGTCATCTTCGCCACCACCGTCGTTGACTACATGCTGTTGGAGCTGCTGCAGGTGGTGGTGGTGGTGATGGTGTTGCTGCTGCTGCTGCTGTTGTTGCTGCTGGTGATAGTGCGAATGAACAAGATTGGCCGCCGTCACAGCCGGTGAAAACTGTTGCCGCTGCTGTTGCTGCTGGAGATACTGCGGGTGATGTAGGTGTGCCGAAGGAAATTGCTGATGTTGCTGTTGGGTCTGTAGGTGATGGTGAGCCGCGGTGGTAGAGAGTTCATGATGGTGATGGTGAGGGTGCTGGTGTTCGACCAGATGCTGCTGCTGCAGCTGCAGGTGATGATGGTGGTGATGGTGGTGTCGTGATAAGTCTTCGTGTTGTTGCTGTTGCTGGTGCTGCTGTAATAGTTGGTGGTGTTGTTGCTGTTGTTGGTGCTGGTGCTGGTGGTGCAACTGGAGTTGTAGCTGCAGATCACCACCGATTTGCTGCTGCTGTTGGTCGTGTAGCAGTAATGGTAATGGTGGTGCTGGTGGTGGTATTGCCGTCCCAGACGAATGATGATGTTGGCCACTGTCTCCGCTGTAATAGCTGCTGCCGGTCTGGTGTTGTGATGGCAGTGTGTGTGGATGATGCTGTTGTTGCTGTTGCTGGTGATGTAGAAGGAGTAAATGGTGGTGATGATGTGGGTGAAGGTGACTTCCGCCTATCATATCGGGAAGACCTGCCGATGTAGCAGTAGATGTATATCCATCACTGACGCCACTGTAACCGATCCCGGTGGTCGTCGTCGTCATATCGTAATCATCCTACATAAAAAACACGTACACAATTAATTGTTATTAAACATTGTCTTTCGGCAATACATTTTTAATTTATGATTTATATTCACGTATTAACTATTAAGTCCGTACCAACAATTAAATTATTTTAGAAAATGTTTTTGGTGCGTTTGTTTGGTCACGGCAGTGTTAAAATAAGGGTTTACGGTTGAGTATATTAGAATTTTTTTTTTTTTTTAGCATCCAATAGATAAAATATATAATTTAAACACATGATTTTTACAATGAGAATATTATATGGTGTGAAAACAAATTAAAGAATAAAAATAACAACCATAAACGAAAAAAAAAATTGTTTTATAATTACAATTTTTGAACATATACCAGCTATTATTCTTTAGTAGCCGTAAGGCTATATATGAAGTCATGTTTTACAAATCGCAAATATTACCAAAATTTGTGTTTATCATTTCGCTTAGAATTAAATATTATTAAATTAATATATTGATTTTAAATTTACTTATTAGAAATTCTTAATCGTCGCTTTATATAACATTAAAAAAAAATGTAATTTAGTTGGCTCTTTCTATAGTTTTATGTTAAGTTTGTACTCGTATTCTAAATAAATAAAATAAATATGTTTTAGTAAAATTCAAAATTGTCTACATATTCGAAAAAAATGTGTTCACTGCTGATGATTGAGGTGCCCTCAAAAGTAATTATTATTTTAAAAACTAGTCTACACTACTGCTAGTTTCAATGCTTCAGAACATTTAAATGGTTTGTAGGGTATCGACTGCGCAGACTAGTTAAATATCGCAGAACAAATCAATAACTTTGGTGGAAAAAATTTTAAATAAACGACCCGGGAGCAGATTTATAGTGTGACCAGACATTTACTGAACAGTCAGCCGGTACATTATAATATCGAGTGAACACTAACCTGTTGCTGCTGTTCGGTAGAGGTGGCGCTAGTGTTTATGGACGGCATGGCCACCGTTGGCGGCGGTGGGGTCGATGAAGACGACGGCGAAGCGGCCGGATCGACTTTGATTGTTAACTGCACCGGTGGTGCCGGTGGTGATGTCGGTGTTTGTGGTGATTCACCACCGGCAGTCGTGGACGGCTGAGCCGTATCCATCATTATCATCATGTCCACATCGTCATTGCCACCACCGCCGCCGCCGCCACCGCCGCCAGTGCTGTCCGTTGTCGTCGTGGTAGTCGTATCACCGCCTCCGCCACCGTCGTCAATGTCCGTTTCGTCGTCGTCGTCGTCGTCGTTGTCGCCGTCGGCGTCGTCGTCGTCGTCGTCTTCGTCTGTATCGTTCAACAAACGGTTCGTGTTCGACCCGTTTCGCTGCTGTTGATGACGACGACGCTGGCGATGGCCCTGGTCGTCTTCGTCGTCACCGTGACGTTCCTGTTGCTGTTGCTGTTGCTGCTGCTGCTGCTGCTGGTGATTATGATGGTGGTGGTGGTGCATCCGCTGTCTGCTCGTCCGTTGGTGATCGTCGTCGTCGGCGACGACGTCTCTCTGTTTCAGCTGCTGCTGCTGCTGCACCAGCTGAAGATCAAAGTCGTCGCGCATCCGACCGGACCCAGAGCCTGCCGCAACGCCGGTCGACCACTGCGGTACACAGGACTACTGCCCGACAACGAACGAACCTGCAAACAACACGGTCATCAGTACACACGCGAGCGCGTGGACACGGGTTGAAGAACTGCCCACGGCTCTCGTTGCGTTCGCCGCGATAAGGGTACGCGCGCGTGTAACGTGGCCGCCGGAAACGCAGCCGGACACCGGAAGGGAAAACATGTACGGTATCGCGTAAATCGCATTAAACAGCTCGGCGACGGCGGAAGTCTGCGATAAGTGCATCGGGAATGTAAGCGGATTACGACGTGCACGCGCAGGAAAAGAAAGATTACGCGCGGCGCGTGTGCACTACTATCAACATTATACCTATGCTACGATTACGGTGAACGTAGATTGCACAACCAATCTTATCGTGGTCGGCTGCAGCGTGCAGCAACACTGACGTCGTCAACGGTGATCAGAATTTCATCGTACATATGCGAAGAACGTGATCGCCACGGTTCACTCGGCAGAAACAATAGCGAGTCGAAACGTCGAACGATTACAAATCAAATCAATAGACATGTATTCTTTTATACGAGCATGTTCCTAATTGTTTATGAAAATAAAGGCATTTAAAAAATCAAAAAAAAAATCAGTAGTGATCGTTGTACGTATCAGAACAAGCAATACTATTTAGTAGAATAATTAAATCCCAAAGAAATGTATAATTATTTCTATGTGAGCGTGTACGTATTAATAACAGAGTACCTATATGCATTTCCGTATTACACGAGATGTTTACTGTTAAAACTTCAACAGTAATTCGGCTGATAAGTGTATACTTAGATTTGCATATTTTCGACTATTTAGTACATTTTTATATACGTTTATTTTTAAAATATCGAAATCGAATTATCTATTTCATTAATTTTTATGTTATTTATGTACATCCCGTTTTTGAGAAATATAATATGATTCCTTATTTTTTACAGCAGTTGTTATTTACTTTTCATTATCAGTTTGTGATACTTCAGTATTTATAACATTTAGCATAATATTATGAGATAATATTGTGTACATTTTAATCAGTATGATAGTATCTAAATTCTAGTCTTTAATTATTAAGTGTTGTCAGTATCTCTCATGCTGTTTTCATAAATATTTAAAATATTATGAAGTATAAGGTGTATTCTTAGTAAATAACTAATATGTTATGATTGTCTGTGTTAAAAAATGTACAATTGGGTATACATTGTTTTTCAAAACAATGTAAGAAATATTTTTCTGTACGTATAAATTTTGTTTATAATTATTTATAATCTCAACCATCATCAAGACACAAACAACTGTAGAGTTGAATCTAATAACACATTTTATTTCAATATTATTATTAAGCTATTCAAATAAAATATTATTTAACTATTTAATGAAATACGTAACACCAACATTTTTTTCAAAAGTACCGTCTTATTTTTTTAATATAGTAGTCAAGACCAAGCATCCACATAACAGTTTCTAGTTGTTTAATAAATAATATTATTCAAATCTATTAAAATAATATGCCCAAAATAATTATTCATCTCGAGTGTCATGATGTTTGTCGAAAAATTGTTTATCCTTTTGTAATTTACGTATCTAAAGCTAAAAGACTTGAGCGTATTTATTAAAACGACGACGTGCGAGTTGATCGAGTTAGAAATATTAAACCAAAATAATAATAGTCCTTAATTGTTCGATCTCGAAGTGTATCTTCACTTGAAAAGTAAACGATATCGTTGCCAATGGACCATGTGCACTTTTCGTTTCGGGTTTCTCGAAAACCTTTCAATCAAACATACACACACACACACACACACACACACACACACACACACACACAAAGACTGTCGAGTGCCCGGTTAGAGGACTATTATCGTTTTAAAGCGCACGCGTGACACGATTTCTGATCTCGCCCTTTTTCCGTTGTTATATCCGTAAGTATAACATGCTATGTTTAAGCTATACCCAAGAAATATCCAACAAAACACGGTCATCGTAACTGCTCGACTAGTCGCCTCCCCTCCCCACCTACTCCCACCAGTGAAAACGACCGGCAACGGAATCGTATGCGAAAGGAAAGCGTGTGCGCTAAACGAAAGAAGTGAGAAACAAAACGAAAAAACAAAAAGCGAACGAGAGGGAGAAAATGTGACGATTCCGCCGATACAGGCGATGGGCCCACACACGCGGGCACCGCGACGACCACACGACAACGCGATGATGATGTTATCGGTGCGCATACATCACCGCTCAGACCAGTGGCAGGGTGGGTAAGGTGACACGCGTCGTCGTCGAACCGGGTTTCTCGTCGTCGTCTTATTCGTTATTTTTTACGTATTTAACGCGTAAAAATTATAGTAAAAAAAAAAAAATTCCATGCGTTCGACGGCGGCAGTCGGTTTTTTTCTACACCACCGCGGTCGCACACACGTCCAGGTTTTGTATAGGCACACGAGAGGGGAAAGCGGTATTATGTGTAGGTTTATCCTATGACAAAAAAAAATAAAAAATAAAACCAGATAAACACTCGTCGAACTAAGGTTTTTTATTTTATTTTTTTATTTTTATATAATTTCTGTCGTCGTCATTTGTTTTTCGGTATTTATTCCGTGTACAGAGCTCATGCCGCCACTGCCACCGCTGTCACGTGTACACAAAAGTGGGTTAAAAAAAAAAAAAAAAAAAAACTAAATAAATAATATGAAAACAACAAATTTAGTGAAACAAAGCTTGTTCTAAGTATTTAAAAAACAGCATTTTTTGCTTATTCCCACCCAACATGAACAAACTCGCACGCTCTGAAGTTACTAGTAATCGTTGTCATTATTATTGTATATTATTATTATCATTATTATTGTTATTATTATTATTATTATTATTATTATTATTATTATTATTTCTTTTTCTTGAATGCCTTCTAAAAATGCTTATCCGCATTTTATTATTTTTTATAATTCAACTGGGAATTAAAATATTCAATAATATTTAAAAAAAAACAACTAACATCTAATTGTGCGGAGTACATAGTCTGATATCTAACTTCATAATTATTTTTAATAATATAAAAGAAGTTTTGACTGAAAAAATATCTTTTTAACCAACTAATTTCTGTGATTTAATGTTGTTCTTCTAATACCGGGGTCACACACATAATTATTCATGCACTTGTTTTCAATCAAAACAATGCGGTTGTCGTATTATCAATATTCATTAAAACTATTATCGAAGGAGATCATTAATCCAAATACTTAACGTAAATATAGCTTACAAGTTTACAACGAATAATAGTTTCATTCATTAATATAAATTTTATTTAAAAAAAATGTTTACAAAATCTGAAAACTGTTGAAATTTGTAACAATTACTTATTATGCATTATAGATTCTGCATACAGCAGGGAATGTGTTAGTCTTACAATTGTTGCTGATTTTTTCTATACAAATTATTTTCCATTTAATCAACCTGTACCAAAATTCATAGTAGTGATTTTTTTTTCAATAAAAAATTGATCTCAAATAGCCATTTAAGTTTAACGGCAAAATATGATGTTACAGTTTATTTAGAATTTTTTAAAAGGAAAACTGAACAGACATTTAAAACAATGTTAAATTGTGTTTACAATCGTTTGTTTATAGTTATCTAAATTAAATAAAAAGCCTTGTGTTTAATCGCTTGAAAACTGTATATAAGCCTAAAAACCAGCTTTATTACTTGAAACCTAATGCTAGAAAATCGATATCGTTACTCGTTCAATTTTATTATTGATTATTTATATTTTTATAAGTTCTTCTAAATACAAATTACGTTAGAATATGTTTTTACAAATATTGCCATACTAATAATAATCTTAATTTACAATATAATAGTGATTTTTTATAGTTATCTAATTTTGTATTATATCATTTTTAATTTTCACAAATATTTTTTTGGTTCTAATTATGATCAGTAAGTAAATATAGTAATAACGACATATATATTTTTTTTTATTTACTTAGGAATCGTAAATGCCTTTCTATCGACATATGGTCTATATACATATCTTCGAATATAGTATTATATAATTTAGTACAATATTATTATTAATAATATACAATATTATTGATCACAGCAGAAAGGAAAATATAAGGTTTATTATCATTTTAATTTTTTATACAAACGGATAAAATTTTATAAAAGAAAGTTTTGTTACTAGTTGTTATTTAGAATTGTTAATAAAAATTAGTTATTGACTTAAACATTATCGAAGCAATTAGTTACTCGTTGTCGCTCTGATAATTTATTTTTTACTTTGATACCTTTATTATAATACTGTCAATATCTCCCATAAAAATTCCTGTCTATAACAATACTGTGGCGCCAACAATAATTCGACGTCAATTGCAGCCGTGTACCTTACCATAGTTACGTGTAACGATTCATCGATACGAGAGAGATTTATCTTTCGTAATATACGCAAAAAAATTGATTTCTTACATAGAGACAAGGCTATCTTACCTCGTGGATAAAGAATAAGGGCCACCTTTAGTGATGGATCAGATTTCGAAGGGTTGTATAGGGTGATATATACGACTATTTTTGCAATTTCTCAAGTAAAATCGAAAAAATGTGTTACATGATATTTTTATACATTTACATTTTTCTCGGATAATGATTCGTTTCTATTTCGCCCGCGGCAAGACACCACAGAAGCTATTAAAGTAGCCGAAAACAATGGTCGATCGGAACGCAGTTACAAAAAGCTTGGGTCCGATCGCCTTTATGTGTACGCCTACGTCGCGACCACGAGCCAAAAATTGCCGGAGACTCGTGCCCGCCGTCGCCGACTGACGCGTGCGCGCATTTATTTGTACCGCGAGCGTTACTGTTACAGGACGCCCACGTGAGCGTTCAATAGGCCTCGGGACGATAGCGACGACCGCGGCCATTTTGACGTTGCCGTTGTCCCTTCACCGCGGCCTCGCTCCGCCCGTAACCAGGGATTCGCGATCGTACGTCTCTGTCCAACGCGCATGACACGCCCGGGGTTTCTCCCGCGCTTTCCAAGTTG